GCATTCTAAAAGCCCATGCTTCATTGATTAAAATAAAATACATTTCCTCCGCTAATCTCCCCTGAGAGACTATTCAGGAAGCAATAAAGTGTCTTGTCATTATCAGTAAAGCTGCTATGAATACGGCTGAAGAAATGTCCTCTGGAAACAAACCAGATATCTCTCAGCTGAGAAATGGATACAGAAATTTTGGTACCTTTACACAATGGAATACTATTTAGCAATTAAAAACAAGGAGTGAGTTATCCCAAAAGCAGAAAGACACACGCTGTATATATTAACTTATAGGCGGATATTAGACATATAATATAGGATAAACATACTAAAATCTGTACACCTTAACGAAGCTAAGCAAGAAGGAGGACCCTGGGGAAGATGATCAATCCTCACTTAGAAAGGCAAATGGGACAGACATCCGAAGAGGGAGAAAACAGGGAACAGGACAGGAGCCTACCACAGAGGGCCTCTGAAAGACTTTACCCAGCAGGGTATCAAAGCAGAGGCTGAGACTCATAGCCAAATTTTGGCAGAGCGCAGGGAATCTTATGAAACAAGTGAAAGATAAAAGAGGGTACAGGAGCTCCACAAGAAGACAACAGAACCAAAAAATCTGGGCCCAGGGGTCTTTTCTGAGACTGATACTTCATGGAGTATTCATGGAGATAACCTAGAACCCCTGCACAGATGTAGACCATGGCAGCTCAGTGTCCAAGTGGGTGCCCTAGAATGGGTAACAGGGACTGTATCTGACATGAACTCAGTGGCTGTCTCTTTGATCACCTCCCCCCACCAGAGGGGTCAGCCTTACTAGGCCACAGAGGAAGAAAATGCAGCTAGTCCTGATGAGACCTGATAGGTAGGGTCAGAGGGAAAAAGAAGTCCTCCCCTATCAGTGGATAATGGGGGGGGGGGCATGGGAGGTGGGATTGGGAGGGGATGAGGGAGGGGCTACAGCTAGGATACAAAGAGAAAAAATAGTAATAAATAAAAATAAATTAATAAAAAAACAAATGTTTTGTCATTCATCATCTCTCTCACATCCAGTCATACATAAATAATTAAGTTTTCACCAGAATCTTACTATTCCTGTCTTTAAGACCTACAGACACATTGAAATAAATACCTAAATAAAAGACGAACTTGAATGAAACCTTCTTTATTTCTCTAATGCATGGCTACAAGACAGAAAAACATGCTCATTTTAATCCTAGGCTTCCAGAAACATACCATTTATATTATTCTTAACAGGATCTCTAATAATATCTAGTATTTAGATAAGCCACTATTCTTTAAATATTTTAATTGATTTCTTTTCTCATTGCCTTTCCCCTTGTAGGACAGACCAAGAATTATTAACTCCATTTTGCATCTAAGAAAATTAATTCTCAGATAGATTAAGTGAATTGCACAAAGTCATATATCTTACAAGCAGTTCAATTGGAATTTATCGAAGATTTTTCTCCTGTGGGACCCTGTGAGCCTGCCATTTATATTATGCCATCTCTTCCCTTTCTTGTGCATTTAGAAACATTTGCTAGGAGAATGCATTGCCATCTGATTTGGCTAAATGGTATTGTCTTGGTCATCTCAGCATGTTGTCTGGTTCTAAAGAAGGGTAACATCTAACGTAAACCTGCAGAGAGGCTAAACAAGATAATCTTACTGATTCATGGAGTTTATTTTTATTTTTTTAATGTGTGGTGTCTCCTCCTCTCGCCTTCAGATTCTACCCAGTGCTTTGACAACTTGACCCACGGAAAGTCTATCTCTGTTTCTTCCCTGAGTCCCCAAAACAAGTATGCCTCATATATCTGGTGTGTGCAACTCTTAACTCCAATGCCTCAAACACAGCAGACATACGTAGAAAATGATTTAATGAAATAGCTTAAACCACTGCCTTTGAACATGCTGCTGTCTTCAAAGGAAAATTTGAATTTAAAAGAAAAAGCCCTCTGAACTTTTAATTTTTTGCCTAGTGTAACATAATTTCCCCACTCCCACTCAGTGGTGATGGCTCACTCTGATGATAGTCCTTACCATGATTATGTCAGAAACGGAGGAACAAGTATAGCATGTGAAATCATTTTCTTTCCCCCGCTGCCTGTCTCTTAGGAGAGAGACAGTAGCTATCTCTGTAGACTATTTCCCCCACCTACCATCACTGTTGCACTCAGAGAGGGATTTAACACGATATCTGAAGATGACTTCAAGTAGAATATCAGACCTGTTGCTAGGATACGAAGGAGTTGGAAACACTCTTGCGAAGATAGGTTGTCTAGATGCAATCAGTTTCATCTTGCCACTTCCTGGTTTACAACAATGGAGAGCCGGATCCAATCTAGTCTGTGATGGTTCATTTTAAATACTAATGAAATATTACAAAGTAAATGGAGCTCCTACAATGAGAGAGTACAAAGACAAAGAGGGTGCAGAGAAAGTTAATTAGTTTTCACTGAAACTTATTCTACAAGTAACGTATGTATATTTATCACCAAGTCATAGAAACCATCATAGTACCCTCATCACATAGGCAAAACACAAAAAACAAAACAAACAAATGAAAAAAACTGAGTCTACATAATAGAAAAAAGTTAAATATTTCCCCGGGGTCATTTCAAAATCCATTCCTCTGCACAAATTACATGTCAACAAGCTCCTTGAGCAGGTGGATTCTATTTACCTTTTAAGCAGGAGAGGTCAGATTTGAATACCAAGCACCCTGCTATGCTTTGAATATGAACATTTCCCCCATAGACTCACATGTTTGAGTACTTGGCTCCTAGTTGGTGGCACTGTCTTGAGGGGTTGGAGAACCTTTGAGGTAGGAGACTTGGCTGGCAGAGATAGGTCAAGTAGAGGTGGGTCTTGGTGAGTTATGGCTTAGCCTCACATATGCCCTAAGTCTGTCTGCCTCCTCTCAGTTGCCATGATTTGTCCAGATACCTCATGTTTTCTTTGCCAAGCCTCCCCTTGCCATGGTGGGCTGAATCCTGTCAAACCATAAACTGAAACAAATCCTACCTTATTTTAACTACTTCTGTAAGCATATGGTCAAAGAAATAGGAAACGTAACAAATTCTCTCTTCCTCCTTCCAGTATATCTACCTAATAATATAATAGTGTTGTTTGTGTAGTTAGTAGACAGACAGAAAACCTCATAATGTTACACCCAATATGAGGTCACCAGTATAATTAGATAAGAAATAACATTTGTTCTTCATCAACAAATCTACAAAAATTGGATGAAACATAAAGATACAACAAATATTATACGTTGGCATCTCGTCAGATTCCGCATTATGCAGTAGACACCTGCAAGGAAAGAGAATGGGATATAGTGGCATGAAACTGTTTTCAAATCTAAGGATTTTTTGCATGTGTACATGTGTTTAGGTGAATGTATGCTTGTATGTGTCTTGCCAACCTGCTTGCTCCAGGCATCACCTTCCGCTGCCTCTGGAGTACTGAGGTTACAAGCACTCACCATGCCTGCCCCACTTGAAGCGCAATCATTTTATCCACTCCCCAGTCCCCAGCGGTGTGTGCTCAGGTTCCTGAAGCCTATAGTCTAACTTGTCACCAAGGAGGAGAGATTTATCTGGCCTGTGTTAATATCAAAAAGCACAAGTTCCACAAAAGTGCTTTTTAAAAATATTTGTTAAGGCTACACTTTCAGTGTCATTTCTGTGTTTTGTTACTATAGAAGTTTCTCTTGCTATATAGAACACCTGGGGGTGATTGGTATTGTTTGTTACAAGCATAGGTTTAAAATCATAATGAATCTTTGGGTTGCAAAAGCCTAGTGTGCATTAGCTGTCTAAATTTCTAGTCCAACACTCACTAACACTCACAGAACTGTTTTCCCTTCTGTGAAGGAACTAAGAATCTAAAAAGTAAAATGACATACCTAATGTACAGTTATTAACATTCACACAGACACACACACACACAATTTTTTTTCAAAGCATAGTTCCCCTTGATGTCTAGGTGCCCTTCAATAATCATGGCTCTTTCTCTGTAAGCTATTTTGATGAAGATTAATTATTTGTTTAACACTGAGGGAATCTGGCACTTTACCAGACATGAAGAATATGTGATCCAGGCTCAAGAGACATGCAATCTAAATAACAAAGACAAAGAAGTGTTGTAAAACTGAAAAGATGATTAGAGCCTTGACTTATCGGTTGCATGTTCAAGTTTATAAAAACTGTTGCTCTTCCCGTTCATTGTCATAACAGCTCATGAATACCACTGAGATGGGAAGGATAGTAATAAAAGCATTTATGCAACTATATGCAATTGCTTGGAAATATTATCCATTTTAGTGAGTTTATTACTGGACAGCTGTTTACAAATTTAAGAGCAGATTGGTCCATGGATGAGTGAGTTTTGGTTGAAGAAACAGGCGCACAAGAGGCCTTTGCTGTCCTCACTGGCAATATGCACACTAACTAATGCTTCATTTTTCCCATAAGGAACAGCTGTATTTTTCCACACAAGTTGCTAGAGGTAAATATTGTCTGAATTACCCTGGCAACACTCTAAGATATACAACATATCTTTAGGGACACTAAAAGCACAGGAGTCCAGATGGACAGGGACACACACATACATACACACACACACACACACACACACACACACACACACACACACCAAGAAAGAAAGAGAGAAAGGAAGGGAGGGAAGGAGAGAGGGAGGGAGGAAAGGAGGAAAGAAAGAAGGAAGGAAGGGAGAGAAGAAGGAAGGAAGGGAGAGAAGAAGGAAGGAAGGGAGAGAAGAAGGAAGGAAGGAAGGAAGGAAGGAAGGAAGGAAGGAAGGAAGGA